TTCTCACCCCAGTCACGCAGGAGGCCTTTGCCCCCTCATTCTCCACCCAGGCTGACTGTTTAGCACCGCTAAATGGCAAGCCCAGAGGTACAGTGAGGGAAGGGGCCAGGGTAATGAACTCCCATTGGCTTCCTTCACGAGATCACTGCCTTAATTTACGAGGCCTGAGTGAGTCTCATTTCCCCAGTGCGCATTGAGTAATTAACTATTAATAAAAGCATTACTGAGTTAACCACGGGGGCATGTTTAATTCATGGGGCAGCCCAGGAACAGGATGGGAGGCAAGGGCTCAGTGGGGGATTCCTCTCAGGGCAAAATACTAACAGCAGGATGTCACCCAGCTAGGACCGCAGATCCCTGCAGTGGGCCATTATTTGTCCCTGACCAGAGGGGCCTACTCTCAGGAGGTTATCTAGGCTGCCTGCCACCCCTGCCAGAAGGCTGCATTGTGGTAAGGTGGAGAGGGCGGGGCCCTGAGAGAGGTGAGCCCCAGGAGAGAGGGCTTCCTGCGTGGTGGCTAATGAGATGGTGACCTCCAGGCAGGCCCCTTGGCTTCTCTGAGCCTGTTTCTTAGCTGGAAAGTGGGGCTGAAGGCAAAGCTAAAGGAAATCTAGGCTAGGAAAGGACTGGATGAGGACCCAGGGCTTCTGGCTTGTAGGAGCACCCTCCACCCTCCCAGCGAGAGACACCCACCACTGTTAAGTGTGGAGGTGGGGAGACCCCTGCTTGTCCTAGGAAGCCCATGGGACAGTCTCCATCAGGGTTTCTCTGGGGCTTGTCAGCTTTTCAAATGCTGGTCAGCAGGACCCTTCTCGCCCTCTTTCTCTACGTGCACCTCTGGCCAGCGAAGGTGAAGTAATTCTTACTGTCTGAAAACATCCTCCTCGCACTGCCCGTACCTCTGTTCCTTTGTCTGTTCTTCTCTCTGCATGGTGTGCATTTCTGCTTTTGTCTGTTTAGCAAACTCCTACTTAGTCCTCAACTCAGCTCCTGGAAATCTTTGCAATCCTTCTGACCCAGATAGACCCACAATCTGTTACTCTCTTTGCTGTGCCTCCAGACGTTCTTCTATTATGGCATCTACCCATCCACCCACCTGGCCATCTCCGCCACCCGTCTACCCATCAGCCGGCCTTAGAGCTGAATACCTGCAATGTGCCGCTCCAATCTCACTGGGGTTCTGGGCAAGTCTGGTCTCCCCTAGACTATCAGTTTTTGTTTCCTTTTTCTTTTCTCTCTCTCTCTCTCTCTCTCTCTCTCTCTCTCTCTCTCTCTCTCTCTCTTTCTTTCTTTCTTTTTTCAGTACCAGGAATTGAATTCAGGACCCTGCGCTTGCCAGGCAGGCGTTTATTCTACTGAGCTATCTCCCCGGCCCTAGACTACCAGTTCTTAACCTTTTGGAGGTGAAGGAACTCTCCCAGAAAAGCGTAGCTAAGCACATTATGTCCCAGATGTTGCTGTCTGCTCCAGGATTCTCTGGTTGTCCCTGGTGGCCCTGGGTTCAGGTGCACCTTGTGGGGAACAAGCCTAAAAGACAGTTCTCACCTGCTAACCTCTAAGGCAGAAGGTCTTGAAGAAGACCAGGTGACTGGCAATGACAGGCCATCTCCGCCCTCACCTTCCACCCCATGGTGGTGCTGAGGGCTTCAGTGGGGCCAGGAAAGCCCTGGACCTCCACTTCCCCCTCTGCCATACTTTGTCCCTCTCTTCCCTTCCACAGGGGTTTTTCCCAAGATCACTTTATACATAATAAACATCCTGGGCTCTGACCTCTGCCTGCCTCCTTGCCTGTGCTGGGGAAAAGCCCTTAAATTCCTTGAGGGCAGGGACAGTGTTTTAATGTCTTCTATTATCTCCAACAGCTAGCATTGGGTAGGCACGCTGTAAATGCTCCGGAAACATTTTGCTGAATGCATTCTAACACATTTTCTTCAGGTCCTTGGTGCTGTCCCCAGCAGGAGTTCTCATCAGACATTAGGAGAAAGGGACCGCCTTGCCAGCAGATGCCAGCAGGACTGAGGGCCGCCAGCTTGTTTCAGGGAAATGTATTAGTTGCCAACAAAACTGTAAATAACCATGGGAACAGAAGTCACAGTAATTGTTGCTCTGGAGCAGGGGAAGGGGCTCCTGTGGGGGTTACGTGGTTAGGGCAGGATGGGCTGCTGCTGGGGGGAACGGCCTATCTTTATGGAGCAGTAAGGACTTTGCTTTAGTTTCCACTACTGGCAATTCTTTCACAGAATAAATGTCCATTAAATGGTGCCTGTGAGCCCGGCACTGTACCAAGGATGGGGACCTCAGAAGGCTTGGGCTCTCTTGCTGGCTGCTCTTCTCCCACACTTTGTCACCTGGGCAGGTTATGCAACATCCTTGTCACCGATACTTATTGAGAACTAATGACTATGTGCTTGGCACTCGGCAAACTGCTTTACAAACTGTTACTCTCAAATTACTTCACTGGGATGTCATACTACGATTATTACTCCTTCCTCACAGAAAGAGGCAACAGGCTCAGAGGGATAAGGGGCATGCCCCAACCACAGAAGATGGCAGGGCACAGAGAAGCAATGTCCGAGGCTGTCTTCCTGGCCACTGTGTGCTGCTTCCACAGCCTGAGGCAGGTATGGACCCCCACTGCACTCGGTTGCTTGTGTCTGAATAATCACAGTAAAGGGCCACGAGGCGCCCAGTGAGTGATCCCCATTGCCCACCCCCTGCCTCTTTTCCCTAGGCTGGGAGGGTGATGCCAAGGACAGACCTTTCTGTCCCCATGTCCAACAGGGTCTGTCACATGGCCAGCACTCCCTGAATGCTGTCACCCTCAACAGATGGCCTGGAGTCCATGCTATGATTTTGTGGACTACAAACTGGGGATGCAACCCAGTGCATCACTAGTCCCAGATGCAGACGGCTGAGGCAAGGGCTCTCCCAGAGTCACGTGACGAGTCTGGAGCCACAGGGGCTTTCATAGTTTCATAGCACAGTGGAGCTGCTCTTCACAGTTGGGGAAGATCCCCTGAACCCCTAAAGCAGAGACAGGCAGCAGAATGAAGATGCAGGTGTGCCACCAGGTCCTGCCCACTGGCTCGTCTCCCCCACATCGAACTCCAGCTTGTTCTTGTCCCCACCACACTACTGACTGCAGACCTCCTCTTATATTGGGGGTGTTAACCTTCCTTTCACTGTAGGCTCCCGGGAGAGGTGGTGGGTATGTAGACACTTAAAACTTGAACTTGCAGGTCAGCCTTCCCCTCTAGTCACCATCCTGCTGAACCCCAGGACTGAGGGACAGAAGCAACAGCCTTGGAGAAAGCTTCCCTCAACCTGTACAAACACCAAGTTGCCATGGTGACGCTGCAGGCCCCCCCCTCCCCTGAGATGCAGTGGCTGCAGACAACATGGGTGGTGTGAGGGATGAGGTGGACACTGTCTGGCCCAGGTGGCCAGACACTGAGGCAGGCCCAGTGGGGTAGGAGAGGAGAGAGCCATCCTCTAGGCCTAGCTTGTAATTGCTGCTAAGTGAGGGGCTGTCATTGAACCCAACATGTGTACAATGAGGGCTCTTGCTCTGCACCTGTAATTACTGCAGCAGACAGCAGCCTTTGCTCCTGTGTCCAGGAGAGGGGGCGTGGGCCGACAGGAAGCTCTCAGCCACCTGAGCCAGCGAGGCTGCCTGCTCCGTCTCTCAGTCGCTGGCTCTCCCACGTCATCCAGCCGGAACATGAGCTTTCTTTAATCCTGCCTCAGAGCTCATGGAATCCAAGGGGGAGAGGGGTGCAGGAGCCAGATAAGGCACTGCTCAGGAGCGCTCCTGATGCTCCACCTCCTGCCTGTTTGCTGAAGGCGACAGGAAAACTAAATGGGAAGCTGATCCTCGTAATTCTCCCAGCACACAGAGGCACAGAGGGCCTCTGGCACTCGTAAGCCTGGGAACAGGAGCCAGTGCTTCTCCAGGATTCTTCTACGCTGGGGTGGCAAGCAACAGTGAGCCAGCTTACTCCTGTACGGCAGGTTTCACTAGGACACAGCCACACCCTTGTTTCCGTGTCATCTGCAGCTCCTTTCATGCTGTAACAGCAGAGTTGAGAAATCGTAACAGATGCCATATGGTCCCCACATTGAAAATATTTACTATCCGTCCCTTTACACAAAGTTTGCAGACTGGCTCCTGAAGCACTGAAGTTTGCCAAGGTTTAACTGGGTGAGCACTAGCGGCCCAGCCCAATTATACCAGTTGTATCACAAGCCCTTAGGGGAGGGTCCTCCCCTGAGGACCCTCCCTGGCCTGCGCTTGGACAGTGGCCACAGAAGGGCTGGGCTAGGAGACTGTGGGGCAATGGCGCCACCTGCTGTGAGAGCCGGAAGAACTCTGGGGAGACTACTGGCCCGGGACTGGGTGGCTCTAGGGGGTCCTGGGCTTGGCCTTCGCCCTTGTTTCACTGCATACGGGAGGCTGGGCAGGACTTGCCCAAGGTAGGTGAGAGGTAGGCTCAGGTCCTGGGAGCGTCTCAGGAGGCAACACACTATCGTACGTGTAGGCAGAGAGGGCCCTGAAGCCCTGCCTGGCCAGCCATTCACTGGGTTTTAATCTAAGTTTTGGTTTTTAGCCGTTGAAATGATTTTAAAATTAAATATAAAGGTTAATCTATTATCAATTTTGGTAATGATCTTTAGACAGCCTCTAAGATAGGTATTAGTCCCATTTCACAGATGAAAGACCGCGAAAAGAGGTTAAAGTCAGTCAGGCAGTCAGTCAATGACAGCCAGGATTCATACTGAGGCTGTAAAAATGTATGTCTCCAGAGCCCCATATTCAGTAAATACTCATTTATTTTCTGCCTGCAGGTGTGATGGCACCAGGGAGTGGGGACTGGGGCTCGGCTAGGAAGATGAAAGATGCAGGAAGTGGCTTCAGACCAGCCACCGAGGGAGGTCCCAGGCAGGGAGGAGGGGGGAGGCCATGGTTCTTCTTGTCCCCACAGTACCAGGCAATGCGAGTGGCCAGTGGACCATAAACCATTTATTTCCAAACTATAAATAAGTCTGCTCTCAGAGAAAGACGCTGCCCAGGTGAGGAGGCTCCAGCCCCTCCATGTCCCCTTCTCAACTGCCCTGTAGTCTGCAGCCAGCCCCCTTGGAAAGCCACAATGCCTCTGAAAGTGGGTCCCGCACAGCAGCTCCCAGCTGTTTTGAAGAAGCACCTGCATCCCACAGCTGCTGCGCAACATTCAGAGCAGTGCTGGTGGCTGGGCGGCCATTTCCAAGTTCCTTCTGGGCTGGTCATTGCTGCCCCTGGGTCATGAAGTAGCCCTCCTCACTTTCCTCATCCTCCTGCTGGCTGGTCCGGAGCAGCAGCTCCAGGTCGGGGCTGGAGCCCAGGTTCTTCGGAGGTTTAGGGCCACCGTTACCTTGGGGCAGAGATGATAGCATGGCCCAGGAGCACTGTTGCGGGCGTACCCGACTGGCATTCGTACCCATTCACCCAGGCCCCTGCCCCATGGAGGGGACCCCACATCCTCCTGGAGTGGTGGTAGAAGTCTCACCACATACTTCTGAGCTAACAGCAGCCAGTGAGAGGAGGCTGGCCCATGGAGATAGACACCAGACTGGCAAGGAAGGTGGCTCTCCTGGGTATGGCTGGAGATGGGCAGAGGGCAATCTGAGGTACTAACAGTCTCAGGTGGAATGACATCAGAAGGAGCCTTCTGGAAGGGCTCTTCTTACCTCTTGAGTGCAGGGCTTTGAGGGCCATGTGTAGGGACATTCCCGAGAGGCACAGGGCGAAGCCCAGCCAGTTCACCAGGCTGATCTGGTCACCCAGCAGGTGAGCAGCCAGCAACAGAGTGCAGACCTCCTAGGGGCAGAGAAGCAGGAAGGGGGCGGTTCAGCAGAAAGGGCTCCTTCACACGGAGCGCAGGGGGTGTGGCCCTGAGGACACTCAGAAGCTAGGTCCCAAAATGTGGCAGCTCCTGCCCAGGCAGGACAGGATGGTCCATGGGGCAGAGGTCAGGGGACAGGATTGGCCTGCCCGCCTTTGCTATTGAGATACACCAAGTAGCACACTCCCTGGAATTCTGCCAGGAACAAAGAAGCAAAGCAGGCCCAGGCTGGGCCCTGGGCTGCAGACCCTGTATCTCCACAGGGACAAGGGTGAGCCACCCTTGTAGAAGGATTTTTTTTTTTGCTCCAAATGCCCTCAGGGCAGGTTTGGCTGGCTTGAGTTGTGGGGATTGAACCACAGCAACCTGAGCCTGACAGCTTTGTTGAAGCAGCCACTTAAGAACAGAGCTACAGGGCAGGCCCCCAAAGCCACCCTTGTAGACAGCAATGCAGAGGAGCAACTCTGCTTCCACGAGCAGATGCTGCACCACGTGGGGCTCCAGGGACACAGTGTCCCGGGACTCTCCACCAACTGGGAAAGCAAAGAGCACAGGTCACAGTTCACTCCGAGAACCACAGCCCCTGGCCTGGCAGCCAGGAGACCTGTGGGCAGACCTGCATTTCTGGTTTTAGGCAACAATGTTCCAGTATGTGCTACTGGCCAGATAAGAAAACCTTCTCCATGGCCCTGAGAAGGGAGGACTTGAGTAGTTGGGGGGTGGGGGAATGAGAGAGGACAGGGTAAGAGTACTTGAGGTAGCAGCAGAGGCAAGCCTGGCTGCACATGGCACCTGCAGAAGGTAGCCGTCCTTTCTGTGTTCACAGCAGACACTGCCAGTGCAGCATGGAATTCTTAGCTGATGGAACTGGATGGGGGCTTCTCAACCTATGGCTCCAGGCCACTGCCACAGGACTGGAGCTGGCTTTTAAGGTCAAATGTAAATGCCGTCAAGGACTCGAGGAGTCACACCTGGCTGAGTCCCAGCTGGTGTCCCCTGGGTAGGTCCACTTCCCCATCTGCAGTTGGAAGATTACATTCACCCACAGTGGTATAGGGATGTTGCAAACACAAGCACAGCACTGGCACCTACCTAGGCACTGTTTTCCTGTTTTCCAAAGGGCCTGGGGGTGGAGAAGCTGGGGCAGAAGCTGCTGGTGAGAAACATGGGCCTCTTCTAGGAAGGACTGGGGTCACCTCTAAGTCTGTACCTTGAAAATACCGGCGATGGAGAGTGTGAGGCTGGAGGTTCTGGAGACCAAGAGGAACTCGGAGAAGCCCAACCCAAAGGCAAGAATCCCACCGAGGAAGAGGCTCCCGAGCACCCGCAGGAGCAACCCTGTGTCCTGGAAACGGAAGATCTTCTCAGACGTGGACAAGTGGAGACCTGAAAGCAGTGGGAGAGAGTGGGAGGCTGGGCCCTGGGGCACCTCAGGCAGCCCTGCCCACTAACCAGCCGAGTCGCGTTATCACTGCAGTGAACACTCACGGGCACCTGCTGGCTGTCTACAGGCAGAGAAAAAGAATGGAAGGTACTAAATAATGACACACCAATGGCCTGAGACCTGGGGACACTGTGGGGGAGCCAGGGGGCTTCCAGGGAGCCATGGGGCAATACAAGTCAACGGTCCTTAAAGGGAGGGACCTGAACCTATGGCTGCAGCAGAGGGGCTGGTACTGTGCAGATAATCTGAAGCAGGATGTCTCTCTTTCAGACTGCTTGCTGTTTTGGTGCGGGGGATGGAACCCAAGGCCTCATGTGTGCTGGGGAAGCACTCTAGGACTAAGCACTATCCGCAGCCCAGATCTAAGTGGTACTACTTCCAAGGGACTGGGTTGAGATGTCCCCTTTCTGGACCCCAGTTGCTTCCTTCCTGATAAAACAACAGGACTGGGGCTAGGCTGGTGTTTGCCCAACAAGCAAGATGACTTGTTCAACGCCCCCCCCCCCCACGGTCTTGACCCCTTGCTCCAGAACGTGCACACATGCACACAGCACACCAGGAGCCAGGGATGGTCTGAGACAATGATTTCCAGGGTCCTCCAGCAGCAGCAAAGTCCCCAGTGCCTTATCAGCAGGGGGTGATAGCAGCCCCAGGCTGGGTACAACAGAGACACCTGTGGGACCTGGGAGCTGACGAGAACTTTGGAGGGATGCGCCAAAAGGAGAAAAAAAATGCCAGCAGCTTTCAATATAGGACATTTTGTTTGGTGCTGGGCTCAGCAGTACTGCAAAGGCGTCGGCAAATTGAAGGGAATTCGGGGAAGAGCAACATAAGTAATGAAGGCGCTTGGGGGATTAATTTACCAGAAAAGATTAAAGGAGCTAAATCCATGCAGCTTTGCTAAGTGGTGACTACCAGAGGCTTTCGCATGAGGGTTTGCAGAGATGGTGCAGATGCCCAGGGAGGGAGGGGGACGAGTGTGGCATTTGGTACAGGAGGGCATAATGAAGGAATGGGAAGAGATTTTTAAAAAGGAAAAACATGAGGCTCTGAACAGAAGTTTCCTGGACAACGAGGCTAGAGAATAATTTTCTCAGGGAGGCTGGAGACGCTTCACTGCTTGAGACTTAAATGGATGTGGGACAGAATTTTCTGTAATGACCCTGAGGATAGTCGGGACTCTGGGAGGAAGGATAAATAGGTAGAGGACAAAGACTAATCCCAAAGCACAAGAGGAAGGAAGGTGGTGCTGTACCGCCCACCCCGTATAATTCTCTCTGCCTCTCTTTTTCTCTGGATGCTCAAAAGGGAGAAGAACAACAGCTCAAATCCCCAGGCTCCTGCTCCCCAATCCCCGACCTCCAACCCCTTAAGCGCAGACCCTGCGCAGATGCCTGATACCAGCCGAACCTCCGTACCCCGTCCCCACATCCTGCCCCACCCCTACTTCATCCATCCATGGAAACACACCATCCTAGAGCCCTGTCTTAGGTGCAGTGTGTGTAGTGGTAAGAGAGGAACTGACCACTTGGGAGCCAGGAAGCTGGACCCAAATTTGGTTTGTGTCTCAAGTTTTTTTCATCTGCCAAACACATAGTACCAGAAGTCCTCCACATTTCGTTTTGGGGAGAAGTCAGTGGGTGAGCATGTTTACATGTGCTGTTAGGGCTCTGCACAGTCACTGTTGGCCCTACACTGTGCATATGTACTTTCTTTGTAGCACTCATCACACTAGATTCTAGCCACTTTGTTTATGTCTGTCCAGACCCAAACTGTAGCAGCTAGAGGAAGGACTGTCTTGGACCTCAAGGACCTGTGGCCAGCACTGTGCTGAGCTCAGAGCAGGGATCTGGGATTTGCTGTGCTGTGGTGTCCCGGGGTGGGGGAGGGTCCAACATACCTTCAAACACGGCAAAGAGAGGGAATAGCCCTAGAAACATGAGTGGCTGCAGGTGGAACATAGTATCGATGGGGTTCTGCAGGCCTGCAGGATGGGGACACAGGCGGTCATCATCTGCCCTAAGCCCGACAGCCTCCAGCCTTCCTGTACCCGCCCCACTCGAGTACACTCACCCAGTTCAGCCTTCTGCAGGAGCATCTGGGTGAGGGTCCAGCGAATGCCACCGATGAACGAGGCCCCCAGCACCAAGGCAAAGCCCTCCACATTGAACTGAGTGGATTTATAGGTGAACATGAAGAGGCCTCCAGCAATGAGCAGGACCACCAGGACCAGTGCTGCACGCTAGAAGGATAGGGAGCAGGTGGCTAATTCAGGGGCCTTGGGTGGCAAAAGTTCAACATCCTGGCTGCTCTTCCACTCTCCTGCCCTCCCAGCCTGCTGATGTACACAGGGCTGACATTCACATACCCATACCTGTGCTAAAACACTGAAGTGCTTCCTGATGTCTCTCCCAGGCCCTCAAGTCTCCCCCTCCCCCTCTGACCTAGCAACAAAGGGCTACCCGCTCAAACGCTGGGGATTCCCCAGGACCTGGCTCCACAGCACCTTCGCTCTTTCCCTTCCTATCAGTGACCTGCTGTGCTTTTCTACAGGCTCTACATTATGACCCGTGTCTAGGTCTCTTCTTAGAAATGGGAGTTACTGCCACCAGGCCTGGCCTGTCTTCTCTACTACAGAGTGACAAGAGGTGTAGAGGCCTTACCAGCTCCTCCAGCTTGAAGATCAGGGAGAAGAACAAGATGAAGAGGATGGCTGAAGATTTGGTCATTGTGTACCTAAAAGCAGAAATCACCCACAAAGCACTGCTGGAGCCTGAGGCTCAGGCTCACCACCCAGAAAATCACCCAGAGCACAGACCAATGGGCTGGGGAAGAAAAGGGGAAGGGGGAGACCCATGAGTTCCCAGAGGGCAACTGGTACTGTCCCGGGGAGGAGGGCAACCTGGGTACAAAAGACCAACAGGAGCTGGCCTGTCACCTGGGCTGATAAGTGACCTTTCACCCGAAGAAATCTCTAAGATGCCTCTGATTATCACTAAGAAGAAGTACAATTGAATTTTCTGAGTCCTATTCCTTACCTAGACCTTGGCCATGACCAGGAAAGGAAGAAGGATGAGCCAACAGGGGACAGAGGAAGTCAGAGACTATGTCTCTGAAGTGAGACATCAGAGAACTGCTGTGCAGCCCTGCGCCCACCTGAGCTCTGAGGTGGTTACACACTAGACACCGGCCCCACCTCTCCTTAGCCTGTTCTCCCCGCTGTGCCTGCCACTGCTCTGCTGGAACCCCTGGCTTCCCCCGGCTGCCTGGCAGGCAGGCATAGCATCCCCTCTGCGCTTGGCTTACGGAAGACGCTGGAGACTTCCTGGATGCCAGAGCTGAGAGAGCAAGAGCTGGTCCCAGAGGGTGATGGAGTGGCTGGCCCATCGGCCGGGTGTGTAGACAGCCAGCTGGACAGACAGAGAGCTTGAGCCGGAAGAGAGGTTGCAGGGAGTAGCCGGTACTCACAGCGAGACAGTGATGTAGAGGAAGCTCCAGTTGGACAAGCCCACGTCAAGTGCTGTTGCCAGTGCTGTGGAGACAAGGGCCATCTAGCGCCCAAGCCAGGTAAATCCCTGGGGTTCCTTCCTGGGTCCCTCTGGGAATGAAACGGCTAACACCTGGCAAAATCTGGGGTGGGTCAGCATCTGGGCTGGAGTCCATTCTGACAGGTGGGGCTTTTGTTACTGACACTTGTTAATTGATGTGAAAGTCAACACCCACAGTGGTACTGACCCAACACTGCCATGTTTCTAGTAAAAACTCTTCTCTAACAGGATGCAACATAAACCCTGCAGGTACCTGGCCTTCTAGGACCAGGTCTCTGCTGGGCTTCTGGCTTCTCATTCCTCCTATGTCCTCTCACCAAGACACTCACGGACCTCACTTGCTACCAGGGGCCCCTGCCCAGGACTGCAAGGTCATGGCCATCCTTCAGGTCTGTCTCACCCGGCACATGACCTAGGAATCTTCCCACCAGTGCCTGCCAACTTGGCAACCTCCCTTTTTGTGTTCTATGGTGTACCTTGTGGCCCTGGCCACACTCCAAGAAGGTGGCGTGTCAGGGGGCAGAGTGCAAGGGGAGGGGCCGGGCCTTCCACAGCCCTCCTCTTGCTAGGACACATACCTGTGGGGGCCACTCTTCTGAGGTAGTCGGTCCAGCTCAGCACCACGCGGGCCCTGTGGCTGGAGCACTGAACTAGCGCCCTGGACAGGGCGGAGAAGAGGAAGATCACAGCCAAGTGCAGCATTGTCATGAAGAGAGGGAAGTGGAAGCTCTGTAAGAGCCCAGAACAGAGGCTCAGCCTGATGCAGACAGCCTGGCCCTCCCTGTCTTGTTTCCTCCCTCCCTCTGGTGCCAGGGTGCCAAGTCTGTGGTCAACAGTGCAAGGGAGTCTTACAATTCCTGCATTACAATTCCTTAGACTGAGACTTTCAGTCCTTGTTTCAGAGGTCATATAAAAAAGTGGCAGCCCAGGGGCTCACTTGCGGCCCTGGACTCTATCCACCACCTCAACACTCCTCTAGCTGCCTACTCTGTCCATGACATAGCTGAAGCATGGGTACCACCAGTCCAAGCCCTGCACTGGCGAAGCCTCTGGTTACCTTTGTCAGCCATTTGTTGTAGAAGGTGATACCAATGGAGAAGCAGTAGTAGAGAAGGATCAGCCCCAGAGTGAACGCTGCCTTCCACACAAAGGCCAGGTCGAGCACCCAGCGCCCCATCTGTAGAGGCTCCAGTGCCCCAGCTCCTGGCCAGCAGGGACAGGCACCCTCCTGGCGACCGTTCACTGGAAGAAGGATGAACTGGACCACAACTTTCAACAAGCAGGTCCCCTGGCTGGAAGAGTTCTCTTTGCCTCCATGATTCAGAAGGACTGACAGAGCCCCAGGCAGGTCCTCACCTAAGGGGCTGGTGGCCTGAGCTGGCCAGTTCCATGGTGAGCTGGATGCAGAGCTGTGGGTCCCCGGATCTGCTGCTGGAAAGACCAGAAAGTGGCTACAGTGGCTCAGGAAGAGAAAGGCTGGCCCCACACGAGCACAGACACAGGGCCTCACCACTATCTTGTCACCTCAAGTTGTTCTCCATGAGTTGCCACCAAAGTGACCTTCTCACAACTAAATCAGATCATGTCGGACCACTGATTAAAACTGTTCAGTGCAAGGTATTAATTATTGAAAATGTCCTATTAATCAGCTGTGAAACTGTCTCATTGATATTTGTTTCTAAAAAAAAAAAAAACAACTGTTCAGCAGCTTCGAGTGCTCTTATGAAAAAGGTCAATGTCCTTCCTAGAGCTCCCAAGGCCTTGATGTGGCCTGCCTATCTCACCTCATGCCTAGCCTCATACTCCCTTGGGCGGGTCCTAGGGGTGCCTTTCCTTCCCTTGGTGGGGATCCTCGTGGCTACTGGAGGAGCAGATTTCCCACTCAGCTTTCAATCCTTGCTCTGGTCATCCTATGTATCTCTGACTCAAAACTGCTGCTGCCCTGGAGACCCACCTCCCCACACAGGTGACCCTCCAGGCTTCCTTACTTTTCCTTCATAGAATTTGTACAGGGCGTGATCTGAGCAATATTTGTGTTCACCATAAGGCTAAAACATGAGGACAGGGACAGCTAGTCCATATGGGCCTTTTGTATACCCTGAAGTCTCTAAGTTCTTTCTCTCTTAGGTTTGATGACTGACCAGAGAGACTTTCAGGGAAATGATCTGGTCTTTGCAGTTAAAAGTAAACCAGGAAGCCCACACCCATTTGGCTCTAGCCTTTACCAACTCTCCATGGAGGTGGTGCCTGTGAAGGATCTTTCTGTTCTACCAATCCACCAACCCTGATCAACACCCACGGCACGCCAGACTTTGGGCAGAATGCCAATGTGTCTGTGCCTGGGTAAGCCTACACCCTGTGTTACCACACCTGCCTCTTCAGTTGTGCGCCCCTCTTCCTGCATTGCCCTTGAGACCTTCCCATCTACTGAAATGCCATTTCCTTCTGGAGGCCTTCCTAGAACCATCTGTTCAGACCTCTCTCCCTGCCCCTTTTGGAAGGAACTGATATCCTGCTTTGCACTTGGAAACCTGTACAGTCACTTCTCCTCCCCAAGGCAAACTGGGAGCTGGCACTAGGTTTTGCTCAAAGGGCTCCCGAGAGCGCCTCTGCAAAGGAGCTTTGGAGGACCAGAGAGATAGCTCAGCAGTTTAAGTGCCTGCCTGACAAGTGTATAGACCTGGGTTTGATCCCTGGTACTGCATGCTGTGCTGGCCCCATGCCAAGCCGGCCACTGAAACCAGGAGTGGCGGCACATGCCTGTCCCAGCACTAAGGAGGCTGAGACAGGAGGATCATGAGTCTGAGCTGCGTAGTGAGGCCCTGTACCAAATAAATACATTAAAAAAGAAAAAAATTAGAACTCCAGAGCTTTGGTGGTGATTTACGGCCCACTCTTGGCAGAGTAAGCCATTGTTCTGCATTCTACAAGACTTTAATAGTCATATGTGGTTCACTTACAATCACCCTAACCTAGAAGCCAACTCAGCTGTATATGTAAACAGAGTAGTTTTTCTACTATTCACTGAAGTTTCCAAGAAAAAAATAGCCATGCACATGGACCGGAGACCATTCTTTTTGTCCAATTGGCACCAAGAGTTCTCTTTCCAGAAAAGTCATACTTAGCATAGCAATGGTGCTCCTGGTTTCTGAGCTGCCTATGCACCAAGGTGGGATGAGCCTGCATCTGTGGCTACCACATGCCCAGATGTTCTACAGGGAGGGGAAATACTGGCAGCCTCACTCTGACTCTAGCATTGTGCCCAGAAGCTTACGGATGGCACACATTTTCTTTTATTACAAGTCACTTTCCTTTGTATTATACTTAGGGCAACATTGATTTTTTTAAAATTATGTGTAGGCAGTTTTTACTAATGATAGATTTCACTTTAGGATAACAAAGGGGGATGTTATTAAATTAATGGTAAGGGTGTGTGAGATCCAGTGAGTTGAGTGTCAGCGAACCTTCTTCCTGTCTTCATGTAGTCTCAGTCCTGGAAATTGTTCAAGCTGACATCTCCCCTATATGTACCCTGGCTCAGATTCTGCAGAGTCTCCAGGGGCACACCCAACTGCCTATCTGGCCTCTTCACCTGGATGTTTACAGTCCAGCATCTCATACCCAGTATCCAAAACTGGCCTGTTTTCCACCCCCACCCCAAGCCCAATCAGTTCCCCTTCCCACTTTCTAGTACAACGTGCCATCATTTGCACATTCTGATCCTTTATTCCTTTCTTTCAGCTCACACAATTAACAGCTATTGCCAGCTCTAGCTTCTAAAAACACGTCCTTAAGATCACCTCTTCTGACCTACATGTCTGCTGTTCAGGCTCTATTCTTTCCCCCAAGGCCTGTGGGAATCCCCTGCAGGGTTCTCTCCACTCCTCCTGCCACTGCAGCCAGTCTGCTACTAGCACAGCTAGGGTGGGGAGTGCAGGCCTCAGAGAAGACATCAAGGCCCACATCCTTTGCTTTAGTCCAGCCTCCTCTTATCTTCTGTCTTGTCTGGTTTGGTGGTGGGGATCTAACCCAGGGCATCATACTTGCTCAGCCTGTGTCCCACCACTGAACTTCACTGCAGCTATCCTAGGATTTCTAACTTTGGACCTTCAGATATTTGGGGCCAGATAAATCTTTGTGGTATAAGGCCTGCCCTACCCACTGCAGGATGTTTAGCAGCACCCCTAGTCTCTGTCTTTACCCATTAATACCAAGAGCAGCCTTAATTACGCCCAGACATTGTCAAGTGCTGTCTGGGGACCAAGCATGTGCCCTGCTGGCACTAAGAGGATTTTCTTCCTGGCACTTGTTCCCCAGGTCCTTCCAGTGGCTTTTAAGCCAGAGGAGTCTGTCCCTGCTTCTGTCAATCAATTTCTTGCACCTTCTGCTTTTGCTGCAGTTCCCAATCCACCTCTGCAGTTGTTCCTTCCTTTCATGTTCAAGTCCTGCCTTCCCTTCAAAAAGCTTGTGTAGGACCCCCAACTACAAGAATCCCACCCCAAAAAGAGGAGCATGGTCTGGTTAACAAGACTCATTTTCATATTAGTACTCAGAACACCTACCCCAGAGCAGGAGAGATAGCTCAGTAGGATAAGTACTTGCCTGGCAAGCATAAGGGCCTGAGTTCAATCCCCAGTTCCGCAAAAACAAACAAAACTTACCCCAACACTGGATCTCAGTTAGAAGGGCACTTTGAACTCACACACCACTTATGCAGTGCTTATGTAATCCAACATGCCTAGCATTGGTGATGTAGACAGGAAACTGATAAAATCCTCACCCTTATGCTATGGTAATCAAGACCAGGCCTAAAGGGCTAAATGCTCTTTTTAAAATCATACTTGCCCAGGAAAGGAATTCCACATTTTACCTCACTTTCCCAAGAAGCAGCCACAACAAGATAGGACTTAATATCACTACAGCATTTGGCTCTCTCAATTTCCCCATCTCTTCTCAAAATTGCGGGCTTTGAAGTTAACAGACTAGGCCTGACTCTACCTGACTCCTGGACTCAGTTCCTGTAATGGGGATAAAACATCTGTCTCTTGGGCAGGGAAGTCAGGTACAGCACTTGATGCTGGCTCAGGGTGGGGGCTCCCTTCCCTCTAGTTTGCCTTACAGCCAAACTTTCTCAAAGGCCCCGCAAACCGGCCTCCCTTCAGCCTACTTTTTTTTTTAAAGGAGAAAATCTTTTTTTTTTTTTTTTTAATTTTTTTTTTTTTTTTTGTGTGTGTGTGTGTGTGTGTGTGTGGCCAGCTCAGCCCACCAGGGGGCGGGGCTGGCTGGCATGTGGTGCTGGGGGATTGAACCGCGGTCCTTGTGCTTTGCTAAGCTTGTTCTAAGTAGGTGCTTTAGACCACTGAGCCATCTCGCCAGCCCTCAGCCTACTCTTAAGCTCCTGAGACACTAGACCTCCTCCCTACTGCTCCTTCAAGGGCCTGATCTCTGTTTTACTTAACTACTTCCTTCTCCTGTAGACACTTCTTAGGTGTCACCAACACCACATTTCCAGGCTTTCCTTTCACTTTTCTGCACTCCCTGGTCTTTGTGGCTGACACCACCTCTTCAACTCAACTTGTAAGAACTGGGAACCTGAGAGCTGAACCCTGGCTTCTCTTTTCTATCTTACTTCTTACCCTACCCTACACAGTCTCATCCTACTCCACAGAGCCACCTCAGACTACTACATCCAACTGCTTTGTTGGTGGCTCCCCTCCAGATAGTTAAAACTGAAGACACCCTAAGAAGATACCTGAATTATTCCCATGCATCCAACCTGTTCCAAAATACAGTAATTTAAAGAGCCACCTGATGACTTCAGCAAATGCACAGGTCAATGGTGAGGTCACCTTTGCACACCCATCCCTCCCACGTCTTTCATTCCTCAAACGCCCTACCTGTCAGTTCCACCTCAGTTACCTGTGGTCCTATGCACTTTTCTCTTCCTCTCTGCTCCCACAACCGTGGTCTAGTACCTGTCACCTACTTCCCACAGCTGGGTTTCCTGTTTCCTCTTACGCTTTTACACTCTGGAGTCCACAAAGTAGCCACAGATGCCTTAAACACACAGCGTAGTCTGAGATCTTCAAGGGCTGATCCCACTCCTCCGTTCAGGCCACTGTGAGGCCTCTCACCCTCTGGTCTCTGCCACTTCCCCCTCCTACTCCTGCACCCAGACCCACTACCGTGACTTCTCGCCGTGTGACAACACACCAAGCCCGTGTCCTACTAGGCACCTGCTGTGCCTTCGCTTGGCCGGCCGAGCACTCGCCGAGGTCGCCCTCCCGGTCCTCGTGGCACTTCTCACAGGCTGACGTTTCCTTGTTTGCTCACGCGCTCCCCTCCCGCCCCACACCCACCGCAGGGCTCCGCCCTTCACAGCAGGCAGCTCGCGACTCCCGCCCGGCCCAGGTTCAGGCCCCTGGCTGGTGGAGAGGCCAGAGGACGCTTTTCCCTCCGCACACCGGGAGACTGAGGCCCGGAGCGGGGTAGGGCCACGGGCCTCGGCCGCTGCGCGGAGTCCGTCCCTCGCGAAACCCTCCTAGTCCACGGAGTCCCGCTGCACCCACACTCACCTCCGCCCAGGGCACTCCCCGGGATCCTCCTGCCGGAAGTGTGAGGCTAGGCTCCGCCCCGCGCCGCGGGAAGGGGGCGTGGCTTCCGCCGGAAGTCACTGAGAGGAGGGGCGGGGTGGGGTCCACTCTCCAAGCGCAGCTCGGGAACCCACCTCTCCAGTGCGCGATTGTTTAGAGTTTGAAGAGCACCCGGGGTTGGGGGCTTGCCCTGGAGTTTTAGTGCCTGCTAGCATCGTGCAAACAAGTGAGCGTCGAAACAGATCACCTAGCTACTTTTGTTAAATTGTTTAGGTTCATTCCAGTGCTGGCCAGTCATGGAAAGAACCATGAAAATAAATTTCCCATAGACTGTTTCTTCTTGGAACCCTAGCCAATGAGGAGTAATGTCAGGGGCAGTAAATATTGACCTAGAATACTCGATTAATAAACATTTGTGGGGGCCGGGGAGATGGCTCAGTAGGATAAGCGGATGACTGGCAAAGGCAAGGATCTGAATTCAATCCCCGGTTCCACCAAAAAAAAAATAAATTAAAAAAAAAATTCGTGAAATATTCTCTGTATGCATTTAGCTTCGTAATAATTTCAGCCAGTTGATAGGGCTGGGTGTGATGGCCAACGCCTGTACATCCCAGCACAGGCAGCTGAGGCAGGTGGACCCCTGTGAGTTCGAGGCCAACCTGGACTACATGAAGAGTTCAAGGCCAGCCCAAACAATATAATGAAATCTTTCTTAAAAAATAATAAAGTTACCAGGCGTGGTGGCATGCACCTGTAATCCTTGCGCTGGGGAGGCTGAAAACAGGAGAATCACTACAAGTCTGAGCTGCATAGTGAGACCCTGTACCAAATACATTAATAAATAAATAAAATTAAACTAAAAACTTATAGATCCTAAAAAGTGACTAGGTTGTTCATAAACGAAGGTAACAAATACTATGTCAAAGTAACCAAAGGGCAGGTTGCAGGGCATTTGATTCACTTGTAGAATGGATTAAAAAGGGTAGCAGTTTTGGACAGGGAACAATTTTTAAAGTGGGCGGGCTAGGGCTGCACACTGGGGCCCCCCAGTTTTGTGCTTTTTACCCTCTAGCTGCTTCCTGGATTCTGCACTAGAATGGGCTGGCTGCAAAGGGATCCTTACAAACGACTCAGCTGGCTTCCTGGCCCCTCTGAACAGAAGGCCCAAGTGTAAACAGTGCTTTGTGCAAATTGCTGCTGTTGCCTCTGCCAGCTGGCGTTATGCAGGCATTAGTTCATTCAGTGCTTACCAAGCACCTACAATGGTCCCCATCGCCACCGAAGGTCTTGGCTTTATTCAGTAGTCAAGGCCTTTATTGCATGTACTTTCTATGCCTTTTCAAAGAGCTTGTCCTCGCCCCCTTCTCCGAGGCAAGAGAAAGTATCTATTTTCATCATTTCCCTCATTCAACCTTCCCAGTTACCAAGGCCATGGTTGGAGCAACAGCCTAACAGCACCAGCTGGAAGGCTGGGCATAAGCACAAGCGACACACTGGCTGAGGAACGTGTCTTTTTTGTAAGCATAAGTACTCGAGCTGTTTCCCGGCTGTATCTTTGGCAGGCAGAAGAGGGAGGACATGTTCACAAGGCAGTGCAGTGTGCCTTTCTCTGCTGTACCTGGCAGCGCTGAGCAGGAAGTGCAACAATCTGCAAGCGTCCTTAACCAGCAGGTCTGTGTCCTGAGTGTGTGGACAAGGCAGAAAAAGGGGCCCTTGGAAAGTGGCTGCGGGGTCTAGCTGCAGTCTCCCAGGCACGATGAAATGAAGACTGTCAGGGTGACTCTCCACCCTTGGGCAGGGAGCAAGTACAGACAAACAGCTGTTAATGGAACCAGTTTGTACAGGAAAGATATTTATTGAAAACATGGTTACTGACAGGAAGCTCCTGATGCTTTCTGGTTACACTCTTGGCTCACGATTGCAAGCATTTTTTCCTCCCGAATGTTCCATCCTAGGATAGGTAGGTGTTATATAAATATATATACATGTCTGTATAAGTATGGCCTATAGTAAAGAAAATATATAATACAATCTTCATTGGGTAGTACCTACCATGCCAGGCTACAAATACTGAATGCCACCGTGTTAACATATGTCCAGGGAGACACAGGCTGTGAGTGTGGTTCAAGTGCTACAGCACCAGGGAAGCCCCATGGCACAGGTGTGGCCTCAGCCAGCTCCCTGAATCACAGCCAGTGGTAGAAACCACAGCACTAGGAAGGAGAGGAAGGGAAGGCAAACTTCTGGAGTCTGGAAGGCCAAAGGGAAACAACCTGAAGGGAGCTGTCAGGTTAGTGGGACATTTCTCACCTACGAAGGGAAAGCTATAAATGTGGGGTGGGGCTGGAATCTAGTGTACTCACCACAGTCTAGCCCTAGTCTCAGCTGGGCTTTCCCTGCAGTGTTCCTGGAGAGCAAGAGAACAGGATTTAGCCTGTAGGTCTCTACATGGCCAGCATGAGATGGGGAGATTGTAAGAACTTTCATCTGCCCTGATAACCTACACGAGCAAGAAAAGAGCTGATAGCTCTAGACCAGAGATGTCAAAGCCAAACCTCAGAAGCAGCAACATCTTGGCACCAGATGAGGCTACAGTGAGCCCTCACAAAGACAAAAGTAAAGGCCCAAAGCCTGTACTCAGATCTGAGCCACAGGCATGAGCTACTCTAAGGCAGTCACTTCAACACTCTTAACGCATCCAGCACACTGGACCTCTGCAGGCAGCCATTCCTGGGTCAGTCCTGGCTTACATGGGCTCTGGCCAACCAGAGCAGGCTCAGGAAGAAAAGGAAAATGGCTGCTGTTAAACCCAGTTTAAATGCAGTGTGGGGGCTGGAGGGCCAGGGCACCAGCTGTTCATTTCTCACAGCCCAGTCGCAGGCTTCACGGTGACTGAGAGGGCAGAGGCCCCCGCCTTCATGACTCCTACTGAACAGGGACCAAGAGGAATGTTGGTGGTCCAAAGTGGGTTTCCAGAGTGGCTGACATTCACTGGCCACCATGATCACTACAGATTCCATATATGCAAATGACAAGGCACCAGACTGTGAGTGTCACTCCTGGGCCCCTATCCCTTCCTGGGTACTGTGGTCTGTGTCCCCAGGCTCAGCCATAGTGGTACACGAAGTCATAACTGCTAGGCTCCTTGGGCACTGGCGGTGGTGCTTCGGGAATCTGGATGTTTTCCAGGTCGAGGAGCCGCAGCTTCATTTCCATGCTCAGCAGCGTGTCTAGGTCACTCTTGGTCAGCTCACTGGACATGTCCTTCCCAAGAAGAGCACTGAGGCCATCAATCCAGATGCAGTACTGTGGGAAGCGAGTTGCAAAATGTTACATAGCAGTCGCAGGGCTGCAGATCCTGCCTAGGTTCCTGTTCTGATGGGATGTACACAGTCCCTTTCAGCACCATTCAGATAGGAAAAACTGATATGGAATAATAGCAAAGATAAATTGGGAGGTGATCATTAGTTTTTCAAGAGTCCTGGTATTTATGAGGGGTTTACATTAGAGTTTTTTTTTTTTGCAGAACCGGGGATTGAACTCAGGCCCTTGCGCTTGCCAGGGAAGCGCTTACAAAAATATGAAATGTGACCTAAAAATGCAATGAAAATTGAGAGGATTGCCTACTTGAAGTGAGGTGCATAACCAGAAAATGACTGGTGACCAGTGAATCAGGCATTCCCCAGATTACACATAGGAAGGGAGCCATTCTTAACACATGATAGGTTAAGAAAAAAGCAGGACACAAACAAGGATACCACAGGATCTCAAGTTTGTTTTATAAAGTAAACAAAAAATTGGGCAGGAGGGTCTCATGGTGAGAGGGAGCAGCACAGAACTCCCTAGTTCTTCCTGTTCCCTGTCTTGCTGTCTCCCTTTGTTCATACCTTGTTCACCTGTTCCCCACCTGTCCCTCACTTCCTCCTAACGAGACTTCATTGGCAGCTCAGGCTGTGTCTATACATCACCTGTCCTAGGAGCCTCCAGGCGCCACTGATAGCTCTGAGAGCTGTATTTTCCAGGGCTGCAGTGGAACTGCAGGTCCCTGTCAGTAGAACCAGGTCCATCTGGTTTAAAAGCCCAGGCAAAACCCACTACAACATGTGACTGGGTGCCCCTAGGAGGAAGGACCTGTCCCTCAAGTCTGTTTGGGTAAGAGTCATGTGAGACTGAAGGGTAGAGCATTTTCTGAGACCCAGGCAAAAAAGTTCTCCCTAACTGGCCCTGTCTTTCTAGTGACAATGTAGAGCTGTCACTAAAAAGTAATGTGGCAAGCCCAGGGAGTGAGGAAAGGCTCACGATGTGGCAGATCCCCAGTGTCCGCTGATGCTTCACAGTTCGCTGTGGCCGTCTGCCTCCCAGGGGATGCGCCAGTGCTGTGCATTCTTCCCCTTCTGCTTACGAGTCAGTGGGGCTGTGCTGTCCAAGGCAGTACTCACCTCATACTTATTAGGAGCGATGAAGTTCAAGGTCTCATCAGGGTCATACAGAATGGAGAAGGCCAATTCCAACACCTCCTAAACAAGAAAGGGTTTCAGTTACTTGGGACAATGGAATGGCCTGAAGTCTGAATACCAAAATCTTGGCCAAGTCCTAGTAATGTGGCATATCACCAAATGTGTCAATGCAGGCATGACAGCGCTAGAGCCCCCAGGCGTGCATACGGGTATGACTAGGCATGTAACACAACCTTAACCTTAGCTCATCCACCCTTGCCCAAATCACACTGTGACGCTGTAAAGATGGGATAAAAATTATCGCCAGCACTCAGAACCATGAACGCCAGAGTTCATGGCTGGAGGTCACCCTAAGTGTTTTTCTGTATTACCAAGATGACTGACTTTCACCGTCTCTCATGCTTAACTATCACAGGAAAGTGCTGATGGTTTAAAACAAACAAAAAAACCATATTGCAGACAAATTTAGGATAGTTGGAACATCCACAAAATAAGTGCAATGGACTGAAATAAATAATTTATTTAAATCTCTAAATTCATAATAATACTAAAAAAAAAGCACAGACAAAAAAAAATTTATATA